GGGGGGTGGGATGAGGGGGGTACGCCTATATGTATTTAAAACAAGTTAATGAGATGGTACATTATGTTTTTCTCTATATTTACTTTCATTAATTCTACATTTATTTGAATTGATAATCTTGAATTGCGATGATGAAAATTATCTCTTGAACCACACTTAGAATTTTGTACATAGATATGTTTCCAATATTTGTAATTTTTGTTTCATTTTATTATTTTGAAACATTATTGTTTGATGAGAAATATTACAAGCATTAGCATTATTTGAATTTATAGTAACATTATGTCAAGTGGAATAGAGTTACTTATCTTTAAATTAGCAATGATGTGTAATTTATATTTTATATACTCCATTTATTATTATTATTATTATTATTATTATTATTATTATTATTATTATTATTATTATTTTATATTCTTACCGTGCATCGCACGGGTTAGAATCTAGTGATGTCAATGACACCAGTAATTCATTATTCTTAACAATTGGACCCGGAGATTTTTTAGTTCATCATGCTATTGCTCTGGGTTTACATACAACTACATTAATATTAGTAAAAGGTGCTTTAGATGCACGTGGTTCCACTTTAATGCCGGATAAAAAAGAATTTGGTTATAGTTTTCCTTGCGATGGTCCAGGCAGAGGTGGTACTTGTGATATTTCGGCATGGGACACATTTTATTTGGCAATTTTTTGGATGTTAAATACTATTGGTTGGGTTACCTTTTATTGGCATTGGAAACATATCACATTAGGGTCTGTTGGTTTCTTTAACTTATTTTTACATATATTTTGGTGTCAAAATTATATTCTCAAATTGTATGATTCATCCTTGAATTTATACAGGAGTATTTGTTTCTATCTGTCCAATTCCTGTTTGGTTATTTCTAGATAAGTGGCTGGAAATAACACATAATGATAAGAAAATTTTACACCAGAAAACTGCACACATTTCAGATATATGCCTAAATCAACCACAATACATCGATGCGTTTAGAAACTTAGGATGTTAAAGGTCTCTCCCAGCCCCTAGGTTAAAGGCCTATACTTTAGAGTAAAATTCAGTTGATATATTTGGAGAGATATCAGTTCATCTTAAAGTTAAGGCAAAGAATCTTGTAAAACTGACCTAATGAATATGAAAAATAGGATGAAATTACAAAATCTAGTCAAATGGATGGCAATAGTAGTGATGACTTTCCATCCCCTCCCTTTTAAACATCCCCATTCCCATTGCATACTCCAATTTTATGTCAATTTCCATCTGATAACTATAAGCCTTCTGCAATGATTGTCTCTTTGTTCTGTTACCTGTGTGCATCCTATGTTAAGGTACTATATTAACCAAGGTGCAAGCATTTTCTCTGTGTTCTGTTACCTGGACTTATGCCTTTTAGGTCAGCTGAGGTCCACCCAATTGCTCCACCAAACAGTTTCAACAACCCTAACAGTCTACCTTCTTGTTCGTCACTCGGTTTCCTTGAAACGATCACAGGTAGAGTCTCATTCAGACCTAGGTAAGCATATTTAAGATCTAAGGTCAATGGTTTTAGCTCGAATTCGGGAGGTTTTACCAAGGAAGCCAATTGTTTACATATATTCTTAGGAAGTTCCAAATTATGGATCAAAGAAACAGTTTTGTATATGACTCTGAAGCATCACATTATTTGTAATTACAAGTGAACAAAGCCATTCTTTGAACATAATTTCGTTCAATCTCGTTTCCAATCGCAGATTGAAATCATGTAATGCTCACAGATGGGTAATACTAAACAGATTTCTAATCAATTCATAATAACAAAATTACTGTTAATCAAGTTGAAATTGTGTGCTCATGAAATCAAATAACTGTCAATAATCAAAACCCTTAATAGCATAATACATTTTTTTTCGAACGTAGAAACCTCAGGAAGAAATCGATAATCAAAGACTGCAGAAATTTTTTTTGGACTGGGCACCAGTGTTGGCCGAAAATAGTGCAGGAATTAATGGAAAAGAAAAGGGAACTTTACCTACCGGTTGCCGAAGGAAGGGAGGATATATGACGCTAGTCGTCGATAGTGGGGCGGTGAACGGCGAAGAAGGCATTGTCGTGGGGCGGTGGGCGGCGAAGTAACCAATCGGCTTGATTGTTCGTGCTTATTGGAAGAAACGGAAAGGGAAGTCAGGCATTAAATTAAACAGACGGTGACCGTGGGGAAGTGGTGAAGTGAGTAAAGGGACGGAAAAAGAGCTAAAGTTACGGAGATAAACACTGTTGGCTCTTATAATATAAGGGGGGATATTTAAGGGAAACTAACCTCTCTCAAGTTTTAGGTAATAAAATAAATGAATAAAATGTATAAGGATAAGGGTAACTTCAGGCTAAAATGAATAAAATGGTTCAATTGGTTGAATTTAATTAAAAATAGAGCATTAAAATATTGGGAAAATATCACTTAGTAACTATGCAGTAGACTATATCTATTTAACATAGCTAGTTTGAAAACTCCAATTAATAAAAACCGGTGAAAGCCAATTAAGTATTAACTGGGTGACACTTGTGTTTGAAAATCTCAGCTATTAACGTACTTAAGACATCAAAACTATCAATTTGGAATTAGATTTTAGGTGGTCATCCTAAATTGATCTAACCCAAGCCTGAACAAAATCAGTTTTCAAACACCATTTTTGAGTTCAAACCAATCATAGCACTAAGGCTTAAAACAACTTCAAATCCAAATTACTTAACAAAAGAATTCAAGAATTCTGAAAAAAAAATACTCTTGACTATGAAGTTTTAATAATTTTAGAGACTCATTAATCAAAAGAACAAAAAAAAATGAACAAAAGAACAACCAACATACTGAACATGAATTTTAACACAAATAAGCAACACATGTAGAACATCTCAATTTTAACACAAAAATTGAAAAGGAAACAAATGATAGCACTGACAATGGTTAGGCAAATTGGACGGGAAATTGGAAGAAAACAAATGGGTGCACTAACTGTTTCAGCCTTGAATGACAATAACCCCAAAAAAAAACTACTGCAACTACCAAGTTGAGAAAAAGAATTGTTGGGATTCCTCCAAGTCCCACACCGAAGGGAGAAGTAAAAATGGACCAAAATATATAGGTTCACCCAACCCCATTAGTATGAGGCCTTTTGGGAGGTGCCCAAAAACAAATCCGTGAGGGCTTGGCCCAGAGCGGACAATATCATACTAATGCGGGGTTTATGAGGCCTTTTGGGAGGTGCCCAAAAACAAATCCGTGAGGGCTTGGCCCAGAGCGGACAATATCATACTAATGCGGGGTTAGGGTGAGGGCACGCGCAGTCCCAACATGTGGTATCAGAGCCCAGGTTCTTGCGGGCGGGAGTAGCGGACTGTGCAGTGTGGAAAAATCTCGGTGTGACGGTGTAACTAGGACCAAGACCAAGAAAGAGGATCTGCAGGTGGTGCCTTGTGTTGAAAGTCTTCCCGACGAGAGGAGGTCGGGCGGCGCGTCCCGTGAAGTTATAGCCACGGCGGTACAAGATGATTTGGTGGATCAAATGGTGTAGCCCAGCGAAGGAAAGATCTGCGGTTCGAGCC